TTAATGACAACTCTGAGATCACACTACAAGATCACAAATGAAGACATTCCTGTCTAACTTGACATGTTTGAGTGAGGGAAAAGCTTCACTGTGCAGATGATCAGTTTGTGTTACGTTCAGGTGATAACAAGCTGAGTCCCCGACCCTAATGTATGTTAGACTGACAGTAATGTCATTGGGGTAGAAATGCCTTAAGGTCCCTCTTTATGTTAGAGGCGAGATTGTTTTATTAGCTTGCTAGACTGAAACTGAAGTGAGCTTACATCTCAACTTGTTGGTCTGTCGTACATCATAAATATCTTCTCTTCAGAAACAAGGACACTTAAACATCACATGCTTGTTCCCACTAATGACTTAACGTCCTTGTTCTCACTCTCTCTCTCTCTAATCTGATTTTTAGTATGATTGCCACATATGCCATATTGAAAAATCTGTATATGCCCATTACTTAGTGTTTTTCATTATATAATGAACTCTGGTATTTGTTTTAGTTTGACCACGTTTGTGCCATTTAGTGCAATATTTTATATTTTGACCTTAATTTTACAATGCTCTTAAATTATTTGGCTAAGGACTGAAGTCTGGGGTGTTTCATCTTGTGATGAGATCATAGTTTATTCAAATGTTTAAGTTAAGTTTTAGTTTGTAGTCTTCAGTATTTAAGAAATGCCATGACACTATGTTCTGCTTTGAAGTGGTAGTATGCATGTATATTTTGCCATACGAAGAACATTCTGATGTATGTGTTGTATCTGGGACTGTCTAGAATTAATGGCAAAATGTCCACCTTTATTTGTGCTGAATAACACTTAATGGAATGTGTTTTGCTTGACTTGGAAATCTCACTTTGTAACTGTCTCTTTTTTTCAACTTATGACAGATGATACATAGAACTCCAGTATAACTGAAGGTTAAGGTCACTCAGTCTGTATTCGGCCTAAAACGCCATAGGTGAACTTGGCCAGGGTCATTACAGGTCAGTAATAGATCGTGGTAAAAGTATATTCAGATTCATTCGAATATTTTTTGGGGGCATTTAAGTTGTTTTATCCTTTTTCAAGGTGAACACTGATGGAAGCTGCAACTTTGTTAATAATTGTGTTGAATGACATGAAAGTGCTTGCAGTTGTATCCCAAAAGTAAGGAGACTTCAAATATGACCCACTGCCTAAAATTGTGATTGGATTATGTTGATGGTGATATTCACTCTGCAATGAAAGCTAAATGTCCTATTGAAAGCTAAATGTATGGGATTTTCTGGTCCAAAGATGTACTGTATTGCACATGTTTCCTAGATTTGAATTGATATCATTAAAACGGAAGTGCTTATGATGTTTTTATTTAAGATATCTAAAAGTACAGAACTTTGTTGATGAGAATTATGTTTAGTTATGCATGTAGTGTGAACACCTTTCCTGATGTGTGTATGTATCCTCATATTGATCTTTATTAATTTAGATTGTGTTAATGTATATATTGATTATGAAATACTTAGGAGTCAAACATTTTTTATCATTGCAGCATTTCTCCTCACACAGGGTGTTTGGAATAATATTACATGTTGCCTAAAGGCTAGGTTGCACCTGAATTATTGTGTCAGTATAAAGAGCTTGTCATTTTTATCATGTACATTGTGTATTATGGAATACCATGCAGACAGTATTATTATGTTGTAACTGTGTTGGTTTTAGACACTAATAGTATATATTTAGTATGGTCGTGACTACAATTTGTTTGGTTTTAGAGACTAATAGTGTATATAGTAGTATGGTCGTGACTACAATTTGTTTGGTTTTAAAGACTAATAGTGTGTATTTAGTGTGGTCGTGACTACAATTTGTTTGGTTTTAGAGACTTATAGTGTGACTACAATTTGTTTGGTTTTAGAGACTAATAGTGTGTATTTAACTTTTGTTTGGTTTTAGAGACTTATAGTGTGTATTTAGTGTGGTCGTGACTACAATTTGTTTGGTTTTAGAGACTAATAGTGTGTATTTAGTGTGGTCGTCGGACTACAATTTGTTTGGTTTTAGAGACTAATAGTGTGTATTTAGTGTGGTCTTGACTACAATTTGTTTGGTTTTAGAGACTTATAGTGTGTATTTAGTGTGGTCGTGACTACAATTTGTTTGGTTTTAGAGACTTATAGTGTGTATTTAGTGTGGTCGTGACTACAATTTGTTTGGTTTTAGAGACTTATAGTGTGTATTTAGTGTGTATTTAGTGTGGCGTGGATACAATCTACTACAATTTGTTTAGTGTGGTTGTGACTACAATTTTTTTAGAGACTTATAGTGTGTATTTAGTGTGGTCGTGACTACAATTTGTTTGGTTTTAGAGACTTATAGTGTGTATTTAGTGTGGTCGTGACTACAATTTGTTTGGTTTTAGAGACTTATAGTGTGTATTTAGTGTGGTCGTGACTACAATTTGTTTGGTTTTAGAGACTAATAGTGTGTATTTAGTGTGGTCAATTTGTTTGGTTTTAGACTACAATTTAGTGTTCGTGGTTTTTTTAGAGACTTATATTGTGTATTTAGTGTGGTCGTGACTACAATTTGTTTGGTTTTCCCCGATGTAATCATAACATTTTGCAGAATTGTTTCTAGTCAGGAAATGTGCAGCAGTATTTTGCATCTTGTGTACTAGTTGTACTAGGACTAGGACTAGGACTTAGTCTAAAAAATCAAATTGGACTGTCAGATGATTCCTTCTTTCAAATTTGGGGGGGCCGGGGGGATTTGTCATCTTATGATGAATCTTGTTTTCTATGTCCCTGTCAGTGTGTTTTGATGTTTATTGGTCTTGCTCCATGTACTAGTATATCATTTGCCCTTAATTCATATCACAATTTCAACATTCGCTTTGTTATCAGTGCAATTTTTATGAGACTACAAACAGCAGTTGACAAAGCTGAGACAGGGCATATAAGGTCAGAGTTGAGTGACCTAACTAAGGTCATAATGTTTGCCACTTCGGCCACAGCTGGGAGGCACTTCATGGGTGAGTGGTTACAGAAAGGATTGGTTATTAATTGGATACTTGGTCATTTCTGAGGGGAACCTGTTGTGGTTCAAAGTGAATAAGAACTGGCAGGCTGCATGTGGTCACTGAGATTGCCTTTGTCACAATACCTGTATCATGGTCAGCCCATGTATAGTCCCAGCATGGCTGACCAGCTTGTCAGGATACCTGTTTACCTCAGATCTTGTCTTCTTAATTTACTCAGACAGCTTGAGTCCACAGCCAAAGGAAGAGTTCAGTTAAATACAATGTAATGTTGTTATCTTTAGTGTTCTTCCTCCCTTTTGAGGTAGACACAGATTGATGAAATAATAATAATAACAGTATCTTAAAAGGCTCATTGTTTAGATAAGCATCTTCACCATGCCTGTGCTTTTGATTCTGAGGTCCATACATGGTACCACCAAGATAATGTATAGGGCATCATGGACAATGACAACTGTAACATTTATTGGAATAGGCCGATATACAGTCTAAGACATATCCAAGCCAACAAACCTGATCTTGTCCTTTGTGTTAAAACGATCGAAGTTATGTACACTGTTGTCAGGCTTTCCATTGTTGAAGGTGGCCTTGGTTTGGTACCTCCAGCTCTTCTGACACTCTGGGTAATGCAGAACGCTGCAGTGATTAGGGGTCTCCATATTCTCCAAAATCTACTTGGTGGGTTCGACTAGGTAGGGAGAAGTCCCATTCACTGTCTGGGCTGTGTGTAGATGATGATGAGCCTTACCAGCCTGATTTCCAGGACCACCCAATCTTGCAATTTTGATACTTTAAGCCCTAATACATAATAATGATAATAGTTCACATAGTATATTGGATGGATCCACACCAATGTATACTTGAAATGCCTACAAAATAGTATAGTATTGGGAATGTCACATCAGCTAAAAAGGTGTGTCTTGACTCATCATTTAAAGTGCTGGAAACTTGGTGCTGTTTCAGTATTAGCAGCAGGGGCTGTGAAACACTAACAACTTGGTCCATATGATTTCCATGATGGATCATCTTATTGGTATTGAAGCATACCTGTCCTGAAATCCTGTCCTGGAACTATCTGTTTCATTTTATATTTAATTGATAGAGTTCCTGCAAGAATTTTAAAATGTCTTCTGGAACAAATGTTTCCTGACTCATGTTAATAATTCATACTAAGATTTGAAAATGCAGGTGTAGCAGGGCGTGGAGTCATCCCACACTTCATGTCCTTACCTTGTCAGCTTGCTGACAGGGATAACCTCTTTGGTCATGTGGACAAGGTGGTTCGAATACATAGGTATTTTCTGATATTTTGTCATGTTTCTGAGCTGATAGCCACTATTTTGGGATAGTAAGCAATGATAGATTTTCAATTATTTGAATGAAAAAATGAAAAAGAAATAGGTGAGTGGAAATGATCCTTGTAGCTTTATCTAGATGTTATCAATGTATTAGCTTACATTTTTGTTAAAATAAACCTATTTAAGTTGTAAATGCATAATTGGTAAAATGCATTTTTATAAACATCATAAATAACCTTTCAAATGGTATGATGTTTTTTGTCATAACCCAGGGCTCTTGTACATTATTCCTTAGTCTATAACCCAGGTCTCTCATGCATGGTGCCGTAGTCTATAACCCAGGTCTCTTGTACATGGTGCCGTAGTCTATAACCCAGGTCTCTCATGCATGGTGCCGTAGTCTATTACCCTGGTCTCTCGTACATGGTGCCGTAGTCTATAACCCAGGTCTCTCATGCATGGTGCCGTAGTTTTTAACCCAGGTCTCTTGTACATAATGCCTCAGCCTATAACCATTCTGCTTCAGATTTAAAATCCTTATAGTGTTATAATATAGATATCACTGAACATCCCATCACCTCATCCCAGAAATCTTCTTTGCAACAAATGAGGGGTGATGTTGTACCATAGTTGCCACTGATAGAATGTGAAGTGTGTCACAAATGTTAATGTAATGTACATGTTCTGTTTCAGAGTACCATAAATCTTCTGATGCAGAGCTGTACAGATTGATGAAATTAGGCCAGATAAAAGGTGGAACAAATGTGTGAGTGTAATAGATCAGTTGTGTGTGTTCTGCTCTGAAGTATAGAATATCATTTTCAACAGTTAGACTGTTTTCATGGAAGTGTGCACAGATGTACCTTGTATGACAGTGGGTTACATAAGGCAGGTGGAAGATTTAGATGTTGTTGAGCATGCAGCTACTATTTCCTGTGTTAACTCTCCAGGTAAAAAGTGAACAAAACACTTGTGAAGCCAGGTCGACCTGGTCAGTGTGACCTGCTGGGACTGTTGCCTTGGGTGTGATTGCCTAGCACAGCCAGCATCCTGACTTGAGGCACTCTGTTTATTCAATCATGGCTATTCTTGGGGAAGTAGTTATTTCTGGAGGTTTGTCAGATTGTATCCTCTTTCCTTTGTGTTGGTATATTACTAGTTCAGATGCACTCCTTGTTGCTCGAGAGATAAGGATTTCATCAGATTCATCACACTTTATCATTTTCACTTCATTCTGACATCCTGCAGGCACTCCTCGACAGTTTGGGATGAGTTATTACAACACTGTCTTCTAGGTAGTAGCTCTAGTGCAAATAAACAAATGTGAGAATGCAAGGTCCTACAGTTGATTCCATATTAAATATGGAATGTCTGTCATTTATCTGCTGCATTGTGAAGATGTAGTTCTCCAACAAGGTGCTAATGATCATGTGTTGGATTGTTCCGTGTACGTGTCAGGCTGGATACAAGTCAATCACTTGAATGTGCCAAATAGTCTACCACGCTACTTGAGAGGAATGTGCAGAATAGTTCAGTGGACGCCTGTCCTATCCAGGTGGATTTCCTATGTCCACCTGTAAGGGCATGTATAATGTCTAGAAATGTAACCTGTGCTTGTATCTAAGACTGGGACAATATGCCTAGTGTGGGGTATGTAGGATGAACTAAGGCTACATATGCATAATAATTTAGGGTAATGAATTATATGCCAATGACAATATACATGTCATAGGTTTCACAATGCATTGACCTGGTTGGCCTGACTCAGTTATGAAGATGCAAGCTGAATGTTTCTCAATATATTGCGAGTTGTGTAGTCAAGTTCTGCAATCATTATGTTGTCTAAGTATTAAATTACAATCAGAGTGAAGATATAATTTGGAAGTTCATGCCATGCTGTTGTAATTTTACTACTTATGTATGACAAGTGATGATAATCACTATAACCTAATTAGAAGTATCTGCCACATTTCCATTGATATATTGACTACTACTTGGGGACAACATTTTCAAATAAACGTCACAAAGAAACGTAAATGACAGTAAATTTACTCTGAATGCTGGTCACACAATACAAATACTAACTAATTAGATGTTTGCAGTAGTAGTATTGGTTTACATTAAGCTTAGTGAGGGCATTCATATGGCAAGGTGTTCAGTGAATAGGATATTTCTGAAACTCTGCCTCCAAGAGTATAGACAAAAACAGATATTTCTGTTTCACAGCCAGAGAGGTCATTAGACCACTAGTACAAAGAACTCTCACATTATTCCAGCTGGAGGGAGCAGTGGATGTCTCTTCCCAAAACTGGAAGTACTTACATAAGTTGTGCAGTGAATACAACTATCTTATCTCCGGCAGCAAGACACATGGGACTAAGTATGTGCTGTAGTAGGTATACAGTGATGTCTTTCCATGAGAATTACTTAAACTTGATTCAAATGTTGTGATTCATTAAACTTTTAGGCTATAAGTTCATCTCAGGTCACCACTTTGTCATCAGCGAGGTTCTACCCTTGTTCAAGCTACTAACAATGTTTGACAGTGAGGTTCTACCCTTGTTCAAGCTACTAATACTGTGTCGACAGGTTCTACCCTTGTTCAAGCTAGTGACACTGTTGAAAGTGAGGTTCTACCCTTGTTCAAGCTACTAATACTGTGTCGACAGGTTCTACCCTTGTTCAAGCTAGTGACACTGTTGAAAGTGAGGTTCTACCCTTGTTCAAGCTAGTGACACTGTTGACAGTTAGGTTCTACCCTTGTTCAAGCTACTGACACAGTTGACAGGGAGGTTCTACCCTTGTTCAAGCTAGTGACACTGTTGACAGTGAGGTTCTACCCTTGTTCAAGCTACTGACACTGTTGACAGTGAGGTTCTACCCTTGTTCAAGCTACTGACACTGTTGACAGTGAGGTTCTACCCTTGTTCAAGCTACTGACACTGTTGACAGTGAGGTTCTACCCTTGTTCAAGCTACTGACACTGTTGACAGTGAGGTTCTACCCTTGTTCAAGCTACTGACACTGTTGACAGTGAGGTTCTACCCTTGTTCAAGCTACTGACACTGTGAGGAGCAGTAGAGTTCTGTCATTTATGTCACCAGTAAGGATGTAGTTTTGTATCTGCTGTTTTCCATCTCCAGGTTGGTATCTAGTGTTTGTTTTCACCTGATTATTATCTGCTGTGTTCTATCTTTTGTTTGTTATCTCTAGTTTTTTAATCTCCACTTTTATATCTCCTGTTTGTTCAAATGTAGCAGTTGATTTAATTTTGGTACCACATATGTAACAGCGGTACTCATATCCTCTCAAAACAAGGGAGTACTTGTAGGGTTCGAGGGATTTATTCGCAAATTCAATCGTAAACACTGTGGACATAGGCAGTACATAGACACAAGATAACAATGTTACTTTTAAGATTTACAGTTGATTTCTATATATACTTTAACAAATCCCTTTAGCTAAAACATATTACACTTTTTGTAGAGATCACATGCAATGAAACATAAATATATTATATCGTCTCAGGGACACAGGCTGTAATGCCTCCCAGATGTACAGTGATATAAGCCCTGCACAAATAAATATACTCTCTCTCTCTATATATATATATATTGTATAATAGTTATGGTACAGTTACATTAGCATGTACAGATTACACACATTATAAATTTCCAAAATACTGTACATACATACATGATACATAGAATACTTCTAATCTTTATATATATATATATATCTATATATATATATATATATATACGCACAAAATGTCCAAAGTAGTACAGGTGTTCAGTCATAAATATTGCATAGATAAATAAAAACAGAATGCCTTTTTCTCCAACATGTTTCGTTCTTTACTCTTCAGGGAGATTGTGTAAACCTATCCTACATCTCTGCATACATACTCTTTTCTCCATTGTTTTGAAAATGTCACAGGATTCCATAGGTAATTTGTAAATTTTAGATTTGTAGAATCTCCCTGAAGAGTAAAGAACGAAACATGTTGGAGAAAAAGGCATTCTGTTTTTATTTATCTATGCAATATATATATATATATATATATACACACAAAATGACCATATATATCCTATAATGAACACTTCGCATATACCTCTGTCGAATACACAAGTAAGTTGAATTAATACAATGCTAGCTAAAATACTATATATATATATATATATATATATAACAATGTTTCAAATACATATCAACCAAACCTAAGATTCCAAATAGAGTAATAATCACATGAACTTACCCTATTTGTACTTGTGCAAAGAAAGTGCTCACAGCAGAAAGAAATGTACTGACTGATCAGCAAACGTTTGAATCAGTGACTGCACATGACTGAAACGATCACATGAACCCAGAGAACAATAAGACTAATCACAGGCCAAGCCTGTGACTGACCAAGTGACAATACTTATGAACCTATGTACAATGAAAAGGCTGAACTATCCAAGCTTACCTAGATTTGTGCAAGTGCTGAAGTTAACACAAGTATTTAAGGAAAATCAATGTTAAATATTTAGGTTTAGGTTATTCAATATACTTCATACAAGTTTACTGTAATGATGCATTAAAATCTAACAATATACTATTTACAAACATACTGCTACACTTATTAAATACGAAATGGCCAATTTTCTAAACACTTGTACCCTAGAAATGATGATGTGCTTTATACTCAAGAAAATCTCTGGTCTAGAGAGTCTGTACAAGTGTTACTATCCATTAATGATGAGTGTAAAATGAGAGATCATCTCCCACAATTGTTGCAGTATTGCACTTCTCACATTCAGGGGGGATTTCCAAAATATCAGGGAGTACATCCTTTTCCAGGTCCCTAGTTTTTGTTCTCGATGTCAAGTTATAAACGTGATATTTTCCTGAGCTGAAAAAAGGCGTTTACTTCGTAGTTGAAAAGGGCAGATGTGTATGTGTTAAATGTGTTGGTAAACTAGCAGGAGCTAGAGCGGGCCCTTTTACGTATGGCGACATCATATTTGGGGCACTTCTGCCAAGTTGACATAGACAGGCCAATGTTTGCAAATCGCCAGGGAGTGTTTGTGGTGGCTAAATATGGCCATGTTCACTTTACCAACCTTGCACCTGCTTGAGCTTAGGTACCAACAGTTTACTTTGAATTTAAACCTTTAAATTTTTATTTCCTTTTATGTGATTGTCAGAATGGTGTTAAATTAATGAAAATTATCAGCCACAAAGACTCCATTTCCTTCAGTGTTTTTTTCCTTAAGATTGAAAAGAGTTCACCTTTAGAAGATAATTTAGATTCACAAAATATCATTTTCAGTGTGATGTTCAGTTAAACAATGGGATACTCGACCTAAGCACCAAAATGTATTTGAATTCTGGTAACCCTTACAACCCATACTCCAGTGACTATAGGTTCACCATGTAGTGACTGTAGGTTCACCATGTAGTGACTATAAGTTCACCATGTAGTGATTATAGGTTCACCATGTAGTGACTATAGGTTCACCATGTAGTGACTATAGGTTAACCATGTAGTGAATGTAGGTTCACCATGTAGTGACTATAGGTTCACCATGTAGTGACTGTAGGTTCACCATGTAGTGAATGTAGGTTCACCATGTAGTGACTATAGGTTCACCATGTAGTGAATGTAGGTTCACCATGTAGTGACTATAGGTTCACCATGTAGTGACTGTAGGTTCACCATGTAGTGACTATAGGTTCACCAAGTAGTGACTATAGGTTAACCATGTAGTGAATGTAGGTTCA